GTATACCAGGATACTAATTAAATACATAATTTATTGGAAAATATAAGATTTATTGCAACTTTGAGCATATTATACATTAAATATCTTAAAATTAAATAATACCAAACATCAGTGGCGGCTGGTGGATACCGATATCTCAATTATTACACACCAAATTTATATGAGTTTATAATGCGCAAGCTTCAATATTTCGCAGGAATTTTGAATTTTAACATTGGACACAGAACTGATGGGTAAAAGTGAATAGAAAGATTATCAATTTTTAAAAAATTGCTATTATTCGAATCTATGATAAAATAGAAAAATACATTATTTAATGTTTTATAGTTTGTAGTGAAATTGAAAAATTTAAGATAAATTAAATATAGTTTAAAATAAAATCACTCAAATATTTGATTGAGTTGTGGCACGCCAAGGTATGTTTTGAATATTTATTATGTTTTCACCCATATAAATGTATTAAATAAATAAATAAATAAATAACTTAAATGCATTATTTCCATGCAAAAAATTTTTTTTAGTTACGCCAATGAAGCGTACAGGTACGGGTTTATTTTTTATTTTTATCTATTTTGCGTTCATAATGACTTCATTATAACACCGCTTTCGGTCCTGTTATGAGGTACTTTACCCCACCCAAAATGATTGATGATTAATTTTATAGTTTGGCTACTTTAAACAGCATACTAGTAAAATAATATTTTGCATATTGGTTATAATAATTTTTCTAGTACTTTTCTGGTAATACATTTTGTTTAACACCAAAGAAAATCATTTTTTTCTTCTTTAACATTAACAGCCGCTTATTGTAAATAAGTAAATTAAGGACGGCATGGAGAATCGATTTTGACATTATCCCTTCAAACCAATGACTGTGATACCAACTATCTAAAGTCAAATAGGACCAAATTAAATATACACTGTAAAAAATGGACTAAAAATTACCTAGAAAGTTATGGTAGATTTACCATGATTTTTTAGGTAAATATTCCTTATTAAAGAAAATATGTAAAATTACCTAAAAAATCACTGTAGAAATTAGGATTAATAAATAAATTTAAGTAAAATTTCAAAAAAGTATGTAATTTAAACACAATTACATAAAAATATGTAATTATCACATAAAAGTATGTAAAAAGTAGAAGAAGATGACGCAATTTAATACATAAAGTAAAGTAAAATTACATAAAATTATGTTATTTTAATAATTTCCATAATAATATGTAATTGTTACAAATAATATGTAATAATCACAAAAAAATATGTAAAATCCGTGTAGGAGATAATGCGAATGTGTTGAAGTGTTGCCAGATGTGACATAATTATTATATTGTAGCATGACTTTTCTTTAAAAAAAAGTTAAATAATTACCGTACCATAATCGATAATTGTAACATAATTATAAAATGAGAATATTAAAGTGTTTGGTTCGATAATTTTTCCAACCCTGTTCTTTAATTTCACTTTTTACATCTGGCAACACTGATACCTTGCAACATGCGAGACATTGCTGCAGCCATTATTATGCGAGACAGCAGCTTTGCTTATGTTCTATGAGCTTTGCCTTACTGCAGATGCCTTTACTGTTTGTTTTGAACTTTTTCATTATTATAGTGTTTAATTATTATAGTGGTTAATTATTATAGTCGGTATATAATACTAATAAGTGTTTTAAATAGTCCCAAACAGGTAAGTGAGTTTGTTTATTAAGTTACTGCAAACAAAGCTATTTAAAGTTTACAAAGGTTTTTGAAAAACATGTTTCAATGTAATTCTTGTGGTCACAGCTTTTTACTTTTAAAAAAGTATAATTTGCATCAGTACTTTCATAGAAATGAAAAGGGAAAACTTTATAAATGTATGTTTAGCGATTGCTGTCAAATATTTAAATCGTTTCAATCTTTTAATATGCATATTATTAGATTACATGATAATAATATAAAAGTATGCACACAACCTTTTTCATGTGAGGTTATTGAATGTACTTTTAAGTCAAATGTTATAAAATATATATTTCAACATGCCTTTACACACATTAAAAACAATGACCCTGTTAAATGCCCCTTTTTCAATAGTTGCAATAAAACAAATTTATTTTCTTCTGTAATTTCCCTTAGTAAACACAAGCAGCGCTATCATTTCAAATTCCCTGAGACTAATATTAATTCTAAAAAAGATGAATCTAGCAGCTCCACACATAGTCAAGATATTGCAACTAGTGATATTTTTCAAGGCACAAGTAGTTTAACATTTGATGATTTTGATACAACTGAGTTAGAGGAGCAAAATTTAAATTTATTATCTAATTTATTTCAACATTTAGAGGCCAAGTCTTTTTTATCAAAGACTTCTTTGCAAATTATAACTAACAGTCTAAGGGACCTAAATGAGTTAAATTCACAATATTTATTAAAAAAAATTCAAAGTGAAGGCGTTAACTTACAAAGTGACGTTATTAAAAATAATTTAATTAATAAAGTTTTAAATACAAAATCTGGAAATCTTAGGTCTGACTTTTTACGAATTAAATCGTACGAAAAAAGCCAAAATTATGTAAATCCAATAAAAATCAATTTAGTTAAACAAAACGATGAAGGTAACCAAGAATCGTCTTTTTTTTATTACGTACCAATTTTAAAAACATTAAAAGTGATGTTAAAAAACAAAAACGTCTTTGATATGTGCTTTCGTAACATTGAGTCAGAACCAGGAGTATTTTTTGATTTTTATGATGGCAATGTTTTTAAACAAAATCTATTTTTTAAAAAGTACCCTAATGCTTTAAGTCTAATAATTTTTCAAGATGCATTTGAGGTGTGCAATCCTTTAGGCAGCAGTCGAAAAAAACACAAAATCGTTGGAATCTATATGGTTTTAGGAAATTTATTTCCATGGCTGAGGTCAAAAATAGACAACACACAACTAGTTGCACTTTGCTATGATTGTGATATTAACAAATTTGGTTTTAAAGAAATTTTAAAACCCATTTTAAAAGATATTAATTATCTGGAAAACAATGGAATTAATATTTCCATGAATGTAAATATTAAAGGTACAGTTTTTGCAGTGGTTGGGGATAATCTCGGAAGTCACCAAATTGGTGGGTATTTACAATGTTTTAATACGAATAATTATTTTTGTCGTTTCTGTTATTGCAATAAATTTTCGGAGCCACAATATAATGAAACATTAAGATTAAGAACAAAAATGTTATATGATGTGGATGCCCACACTGCAGAAGCTTTAGGTACATCATTTAATGGCATTAAATTTAATTCAACATTAAATGACTTAAAATACTATCATGTAGCTAACCCAGGGCTTCCTCCATGTTTGGCCCATGATCTTTTTGAAGGCATTGTGCAGTCTGATTTAATGTTAATTATAAACGGCCTGGTTAAAAAAAAAATTTTAACATATGAAATTATTAATTTAAAAATAAAAGAATTAAAATTGTTACATCATAAAAAAATAAATCTTCCAGTAATTAAAAAATATGATAAACTTATAGGTACCGCTTCCCAAAATATGTTACTTTTGGATATTTTTCCGTTTTTGGTTTTACATTTAGGTGGAATCTCAGATGAATACTGGAATATGTTGCTCATTCTTCGTAAAGTTTGCAACTTGTGTTTAGCTTTTCAAATCTCCATTGGACAAATATCGCTATTAAGAGAACTGATATTTGAATATTTAGAATATCGTACAAAGCTTTTTCCAAATGTTTCCCTTAAACCAAAGCATCATTATATTTTACACTATGCTCATCTTATTTTGCAATTTGGACCCTTACGTCATCTATGGACGTTAAGGTTTGAAGGAAAACATAGCTATTTTAAAAATGTTATTAGACATTGTTCTAATTTTAAAAATGTACTATTTAGTTTATCAAAAAAACACCAATTACTTCAAAACTTATGTTACAACCAAGATTCTCTTTTTAACCTAAACGTGTATGCACCAAATTCTGAAATATTTAACGAAAATGATTTTCCTAATGATTCTTTACAACTAATTAACAGTATTTGTGGCTTTGAAGGTACTAAGTTTTTTTCAAAGGAGGTAGAGTATCAAGGAATAACTTACAAACAAGACATGTTCGTTTGTGTTGGAAAAACTGACCAACAAAATTTTATATTGTGTGAAATACAAAAAATAGTCATAGATCATAAATATACTTCAATATGCTTTTGTGGGTTTAAAAGAGAAATATATTATGACGAAAATCTAGGACTATTTCTTTATGACATGAATAAGAATAATGTTAATACAAATGTTTGCTTCCCTTTTCAAAGTTTATTATGCCATGAACCCTTAATTAGTTGTTTCACAGATGGACTATTATATTTCTATTTTAAATCTGCTCCTTTAAATGTCATGAGTTAAAACTTTTTATTTAAACCAGGGTTCCAAAATATATTATTTTTTTATAAATGTCATATTTTCATAAATATATATATATATCGAATACACAGTCTGTGATCGGATATATATATATATATATATATTATATAATATTTATTTAATATAATTAGTTTAAATTCCATTGGTCTTATAAACAAGAATTTATTTATCTATGCATACATGTATTTTACTATTTAGGATGGTTATTTTTTTTGCAAAATCCAAGCTTTTTTTAGCATCTCTTACTTTGGCTAATGAGTTGCTAATTATTTGCTCAAAAATTTGTTTTTGCTGCATGCCATATTTTTTAAAATTGACTTTCCGCTAAAATAATAGTAAACAAATATTGCAGCAAAAAAAAATTAAAGTATGGGACGTTTTTTTAGATGCTTGAATATTTTTTACCTAATAATAATAATATTTTGTTTAATTGTTTCGTATTAACAATTAATTAGGTTCTAGGGTCTAAAATTATAGTTTATAAATATTATTGGTAGTTTTGTTTGAACTGCTGTATTATTTAAAAAAACCAAGAATTTGGTTAATTTTAATTGTCAAAATTAAGTAATTATTCAAAGAAATCACACATATTTGAAATGGACAAGGAGAACGGTTTACATAATGCTTCACATATTTTTAAAATATGGGACTCAAGCCGAAAAAATAAAATTTTAGTAATTGCAAGAAGCTCCAACATATATCAACAAGTAATATTAAAAGGTAATTGTAATTTACTATCCTGATAAAGTACCTAAAAATCATTATTTTCTTTTAGCTTCACAAAAGTTAAACGTAAATGGGGTTTCTCTGGTTATCGAAAAAGACGGTACCCGGGTGGATGAAGATGAAGAATTAATCATGGTAAAGGATGATCCTTTGATTCTTTTAGAAAAAGATCAATTTTGGGTAGCCGAAAATTCCTTACATCCTAATCCAACCAGCATAGAAGAGACACAAAGCCTTGCACAAATCATCACTGAGGCAGAAATTGATCTCAATCTGAATGAAATCCAAAACATGCCATTAGTAATTTTTGATCAAAATTCCGAAATGTTTTGGAAAGAATTTAATTTATGGAAACATGTGTCGTTAAAAAATATAGAAAATTTGGAAAATGGTATTTATTAATGCAGTAAACTGTAAACTTTAGCTTATACATTATTTGCAGGTGTTCGGACTTCAAATTTAACAAAAGAAGTTATTCGCAATGTAGTGGATGGTATGAGGGAAATTAAAACGATAATACCCTGCAAAGCGTTTAAAATTGTAGCGTCGAGAATGGTCGACAAATACAAACAATCGTTTCAAGCTCATGACGAAGAAAACGTTATTTTGGGGAATGGTTATGATCATATCTATTGCAAACTTTTAGACAGAAATAATTATTTAAATCGACCAAATAAAAGGAATACGGAACATGTAGAAGTTCCGAGCAAAAAAAGAAAAACACTGGCAAATGCAAGGGTTGGCTGTCTCAATTGGCAACCATCCTTAATTCCCACTGATGCATTAGAAAAAAAAGAAAAACTTAGGGAAATAACACCCGATAGCAACCAGTTCATCCCATTGATGGAGGATACCTTTGCTCTGCAAAGGACAAATATTAATAGCAGCACACAGGAAATAAAGGAGATTTTTGAGGAATGGCCAGGGCTTTTAACAAAAGAGGGAATATTTACTCATTTTAAAATATTAACAAACGTAAACCCTTATGAAATTGAATGTACTGAAAAATCCATAAAAATAAAAAAATTTGGAGAAAAGAACAAAATTCCTGTTTCAGAACCGGCTAATCTAAAAAATGCTTTAAAAGTTGTATCACAACATTTTAAAGAAGATTTTTTACAAATATTCTATAAGGTTAAGGTATGTTCTGTGTTTATATGTAACCGATAATATTTAATTTATACTTTTTTAGAATGGAGATGTTGAAAATCCGGTGAACATTTTATCTCCAGCAATTGTTGAAATAGGTATATATTTTAATTAGAATAGTAAATGAACCTTACTTACTTCTTTTATTTTAGAACATGATGAAAGTAATGTAGAGTACATTGTGCAGCTAGAAAATTTACGTTCAAATCCTGTAAATGACTTTGAAAGTGCTTTTTTAATGACTTTTGCATTATATTTTATTTTCGGACTGGAATATCCAAAGAAAAATGCTTGTACCTTTGAATTTATTCAAAGGTACTTTTTTAAAATACACCAGGAGAGCGGAACAAAATCTAGTATTAAAAACGTAAAAAATAAAGTTTTTAATTTAATTTTGAAACTATCAAATTTTTAAAATAATGATTAATTAATTATTAATAGGATAAGAAAATTAATAGGGTAAGCTTAAATTAAAAAAATATATATTTATTTGGTTTTTTTATTTTGGAAGTACCTGGGATGCAAAATTTACTTTTTGTTTATTGTGGTAAAGAAATAAGTTTTTTATTCAATCTTTGATTTAAATAAACACTATAGCAAAAACTTACTTTTACATACCAGGAACTCATATTAACCTAATAGAGTTAGTTTAACTTTATAATTATGATTCAAAAAAGAATTTGTATATTAAGGATGTTAAGGATATATAAAATTCTTGTTTTTTTCAACAGTTTTTATTCTGTACAAATTTCGAGACATATGCTCACTTCTTCAGAAGATACAAGATCTAAACACTTAAAATTAGGTGTAAATAATGTAAATAAGCACATACTTTTAAGTTAGTTTTTACCTACTAATGTATATAAACACAATCTTAAATTAGTTTTTAAGTTTTTTAAGTTAGTTTTTAGATCTTTGGATCTGCTGTGGTTTAAAAAAAACAAGGATTTTATAAATATAATCGTGTTGTTTAATAAATACTTATTTCTGTTTATACTGCTGTATGTGCCATTTATGTTTTTGATGTTTTAAATTATAAGATAAATTATAAGAAAACCCACCAACGTTTATTATTTTTGTACCTATTACAAATTTGTTATAAAAAAGATGGTATAATATTATTATTATAATAATTATTATATATTTACGTACTAGGTGCTATAAAGTATACCTACTTTATTTATTTAAAGCCTATCGGCCGTTAGTATAACCAACCGGGTATACCTTTATAATTGGTAAGTAAAATGTTTTTTTATACTATATAAAATTGTGTAAATTTTTTCACAGAAATATATAGTTTTTTAAACAAAAAGTGTATTTTTTTAAAAAAATATGTAAAATATTTTTAAAATAAATATAAATATTTAAACATTTATATATATTTTTTAAAATATACACATTTTTGTTTAAAAAATTACATATTTTTGTAAAAAAAATTACATAATATTCTGTTAAAAATTACAGGTTTTTATGTAAAACAATTACCCAACTTTATGTAAAAATTACATTTTTTTTTTGGAAAAGATTACATAATTTTATTTAAAAAACTACATATTACTGTGGAAACACATTACATATTTTTATTTAAATAATAAATATTTTTATGTAAAAAAATAATATTTGTATGTAAAAAAATACTTATTTTTATGTGTACTTTACATAGATAATCTAGGGTTATAAATGGACCCTAGATTATCTAGGTAATCGGGCTATTTAATTTTTACAGTGTAGGGTATAAAATTATTTTTTTTATATAATTTTTGCAAAATAGATAAAATAGCATAAAGAACTCATGTCATAAGACCTTTTGTCGCAATCTTCCATTACAAAACTCGCTCGTTTTATAAATTGTCTTCGTGCGACAAAATGACGTCTTCTGACATTAGTTCTTTAATATACTATTATAGACCCCAGTGTGGACATTAAGTGAAAATATGCGACTCTTCAGTCCATGTAGTAAGTTAGGGATTTCTAACAAACTATTTCGTTTAAATGGTACATTTGCTGGTTATAAATTATTGTCGCTCGAAGCAAAAGTGCTTTGTGACGTGATATAATATCCTAGTTATGTCTAAATTAATGGTTTTGGTAATAGTTTTTAGACAAACACAAGTTTTGCGTTAATGAAATTCCGTCTGGAAAAAAGCGTTGTTTAGATGAAAAGAATTTGAATTAGTGTAAGGATTCTTTGTCAAAAAAAATATATTTTTTTAATTAAAAATCTTTTTACATTTTAAAATCCATGTCGAAAACAAATTCTCCTAATTTATAAATATTAAATAAATATTTAACGTTATATTTTCCATTTTAAAAAGTTGTTTTTAATTATGCAAATTTTCAATAAAGGTTGCCTCAAATAACAATATTCTGTTTACATTTTCTAATATGAAACAAAATTACAAAATATTAATTTAAATTTTATAATTTAATAAAATATTAATTAAACTTGCAAGCAAATTTAATAACAAAATTTATAATGAAGTACTTAATAAAAACAAGCGTAGCATAAAGCTATAGCTATACTTTAAATGTTGTGTATATTGCAGATATATCTGCAATATATACAGCATTTAAAGTAGAGTCTACATAAAATTCATTTTAATTTAAAATCAAATTCTTATTTTTTAAAACTTTAGTTGTATTACAAATAATGTTGGCAAAATATATCGTCATTTCGGTAACGAGCTTTCTAAAATTGTCATAATACTCTCTCTCCAACAATTTTTTTTTCTCTATTAAGGAATAAATCAAGTCTAGAAAATATAAATATAACATGTTATTAAGTAGGTATATCAATTAAAAACGATGTAAATAAGACATAAAATGAATACTCGAGAAGCGGAGAAGTAGATAAATGATTTATAAAAAATGTAGGGATGGGAACGACAAGAAAAAACGACAATGCGTAATTTTATATAAAAAAAAAACCGTGGCACGCTTTGTTGTGTTGTTGGGTATATTTCGAGAGGAAATCATGGGTTGAGTTTTTACCGGTTTACCAGTAAACATTGGAAATCCGAATGAAAAAATAAATTGCATACATTCCGTGTAAATATAAATTGTACCTATTAGATACAATAAATACACATTATAGTAATGATTTACGTAAAAATTGTTAACATTTCAATTCAGTAAAAAATCATAATAGTATATTATGTGTCAAGTTTGATAAACGCCATTTTATACACGAATTTAATAATCTATAAGTGTAGAGAAAAGCTTATAAACGAGGTGCATACTATACTTTTTATACGACAAATACTTATTATTATATTAAAATGATTTAAATCAAAAATTTGTATAGAGCGCCATCTATGAAAAAATAGGGGAATCTGTGTGTCACCGTCAAATGTCAAATTTTTTTATTTTATAAACACAGATTATAAAGGTTATAAATCGAAATGTATTTCTTGAAAATTGACAGTTTTTCACAGGGAAAGTAAAGAAAATGTTTTATGAGCACTTTACAGTGGAGTCCGTGTCCGAATTTAAGTTATAGTTTACTGCCGGCGAAATTAAAAGGTCAGTACAATGTTCATATAAACTTTTCAAATATTGGCGTTGAGAAACTATTTAATACTTTTGTATTTTTGTATTGAGATAATAAAATGATTTTCACATTTAGTATTATTTTACAAGAAAGTTACTTTATTTTAACGATTGTATGACATTTGACAACTGTCAACTAACTTAAAACTAACTTCAGCCCGTGACTAAAAACCTGTTGCTAACTTCAGCCTGTGACTAAAGCGCCATAAAGCCACTTGTCAATGTGTATTTAACAGGTCACTTAGTGTCATGGAAACATGTATGATAAAGGGCGTTTTAAAGGTGGGAGCAGAAAAAGTAAAAAAGTCGTCTATTTTCAAACAGCATTTCGCATTATTAAAAGCGTTGGTTAAGAAAGTCTTCTCTAAACAGTAAAATTATGTATATGTATAATAATGTTGACATTAATTCGTAGGTATATTTTGTTGGTTAAAATTTATTTATCGGCATTTTTAGAGGACTCAAATATAAAAATATTCGATTTTAAGGTTATGTTTTAACAGCATTATTTTTTGTTAGATTTCTTAACAATGTCCAAACTTAAATATAAATTATATTAGGTAAAGTTATCATTAGTTAATTCTGCACCAACAAATGTACTTACCGAATTGGATCCTTTGGCAAAACATGAAAATGCAACGATTTAGTTCTTGAATTTTATTTACAACTAAAAAAACAATAATTTACCATGATTACTTAAATAAAATACACACACTAAAAAAATTTGCCTCCCTCTCTTATGTGTATTTTTAAAAATGACACAAAATGCTATCGAACACCACCAGATGGCGCGCGCGTTGTGAAAACCCGATGCATCTTTAGCGTACCTATTCCAAATAATAAATAAAAATGTATACAGCAAATGAATCTTGTTTTTTCGAAAATGGTTTTCATTTTAAAAATTGTTAATATAAGTTCGCAGAAAATTTTGTATTAGGGCAAAAAATGCCTTCAGTGTATAAGCATTTGTATTTTTATCTAATTAGGTTAATGGATCCTTTAGGTATTTATATTTCAGCAATATTAATAGCCTTTATATCCTCCATCTTGATGAATAAAATATTGACGTTAAGTACTTTTAATTAAGTGTGTAGCATAATAATAGCTTAACCCCTACGTATGTAGGTATACGTTATTTGCCCAACAGGTTGAGTCAACCTGGTTGACCTATATAAACTATAAAGCTCAAAGTTGAATTACAAATATATATATTAATTACTTAGGGGTCATATGTATGTATCACGGTGCTGTTCTGAGAGGTGATTTTTGGACTTTCTGTGAAACCTAATTTTTTTTTTATATTTCTGTTAATTAGGTCATAACTTAAATTTTAAGAGGAAAATAAAAAAAAATTGACGGTTTGAATTGTTTTTATTGGCTGTTTATTAAAAATATTATGCACTCTTTCAATTATCCAATTAAAACTAGCGATTTAATTTAAATATTTAATATTTGCATAACTAAAAAAAAAGGTTTTTACAATTTTTTTTATACATTTTACTGTTTTGTTGCATTAAACGTTCAAACTTTTAATCTAACCTTTGACGTATACATTTGTTCCCTTAATTAATATATCCTTAAAGTTTGCCATGAAACTTAGATCTATTAAAAATTTATTTGACGTTTGAATTGTCATTTTCAGTATACGTATTCTATAATTTTTGTTTAGTTTTTAAAAGTGTTTTTTATAAACAAAAATGAAAAATTGTAGTAAAAGTTACGAAGAAATTCATAAAATTTAACTAAGGACCGGTTTATTCATCTTTAGTAAAGTTTATCGGGCCGATAACTTTCATGTCTTGGCAATATCTAGTATCCAAAGAAATTATTCGTCAAATAAATCAAAAATTGTTGTTTAAAAATGTA